ATGGGGTGTTTTGAACAATCGAGAGATCAAAATATTAGTAATCCGTTCTCTCTCTGAGTGAATGGACACAACCTGGCTAGCAATTGAAACGGAACGGGGCATCGGTGTACAACTTACTTGCAGTGCACTGTGATTGGTCCATCCTGTCCAAACTGTGTTTGTGTTTTGTGCACTTGACCAATCAGATCGATCATGGCCTCGGCCGATTTGGGCACAACTTGATCATTGGGCCAACCGTGCAGCTGAAATTGTCTCAGTGTACGCGATTGCCCGTCCCGTGTATCTGTGAGACGAAACTCGCGTAGAATGAAATGAGGCATATTGTACTCGACCATCGGTTCGACCAGCAAGTGTTGATATCGTGTTGATCGTTCCATTGGCCAGTAGATATCCGCAGCCATACTCGTATGTTCCATAACCTCGTTGAGCATGACAATAATGGGCGAATTATGCTCCCACACAAGACGCCAAAAATCATCCACCGTATTCGGTAGCGGAGTCTGTGTGGCAATGTACGCTCGCTTCTTTCGATATCCGTCCACAAAACTGGCATTTATATAGTCCGAACCGCTCAGGCCGCGTATCAGTGGTAGACAGACACGGTTAGACTCGTACGGGAGCATCTCAGTGGATCGATTTTTCAGACGATTCTCTGGTAACATGGCCGAGGTAAATTGCTTTTTGTTGTGTAGATTTACACTCAATCGCTGGAGAAAAAAGGGACAAGGTTCACATTTAATTCACAGTTATTTATGAGACAAGTATACAGTTATGGAAAACTTTCGTTACATCCAGTCAATCATACGCTCAGAAAGTGCTTGCTAGCTAGACTGTAGTTTCACGTTTGTCACAGCTCATCAGTAATTACTCTCTATCAACCCAACCGGAAGTCAAACTGCGAAACAACTGAAATGAAATTTTCACGTTTTACTACTGTAAAAACGACAGAGCACCTAGAAGTTAGCGCTTCCTGACTGAATGAACTGAGACTTGTATGTAGAGATAAATTCTGGATCGGTTTGCACAAAAGCGCNNCTGTGATTTCACTGAAAAATTCTGGTACAATCGAATTGAATTTAAATGTCGTTCGTTCTAAATTTGTACAGGTAAAAACCCCTAATCAGTCATCTTCGTTTTGTTCCTGAACCGAAAATAATCACGCGAAACCTCCATTCTATTCGAGCGTCTTTCATTTTTCTATTAGTACTTCCTTTTATTGAGTGTACAGAGGTACAGTTTTCAGGATGGGGGAAGCGGCCAATCAAACGGGGCTGCCGTACAATGCACACAGAATGGGGAAAGACAGGCAGTGGTGGTGGTGGTGGTGGTGGTGGTGGTGGTGGTGGTGGT